TAAGTAATTTTTGAAGATCATGATTAAACAAACAATATAGATAAATAGTAGAAAGTGAAAACATTAAAAACATGTGCTTATATTTAAAAAAGAATTAAAATATAAAACAATATATAATGTATGAGTATGGTGGTCTCATCAAGTCCCAAATCAAAAATTTATATCTTAAAACAAAATAAAAGATGCCTTTCATTTAAAAATTGACAAATGAACCAATAAAAATATAAAGCATTAAGTAATTTTTGAAGATAATGATTAAACAAACAATATAGATAAATAGTAGAAAGTGAAAACATTAAAAACATGTGCTTATATTTAAAAAAGAATTAAAATATAAAACAATATATAGTGTATGAGTATGGTGGTCTCATCAAGTCCCAAATCAAAAATTTATATTTTAAAACAAAATAAAAGATGCCTTTCATTTAAAAATTGACAAATGAACCAATAAAAATATAAAGCATTAAGCAATTTTTGAAGATAATGATTAAACAAACAATATAGATAAATAATAGAAATTGAAAAAAATTAAAAAGACGTTCTTATATTTAAAAAAAGCATTAAAATATAAAAAATCTACAAAAAGTGCAAGGACAAAAGATGAATGCAGTGAGTTACACATGCGTCCATGGTGGTTACCTAAAATCTCACGTCAAAAATATATTTTTTTAAATAAAATAAAAGTTGATTTTTATGTTAAAACCGAGAAAGTTATCAAGAAAAAATAAATCATAAAGCACTTTTTTTAAGACAAATAATAGAAAGTACAAAAATTTAAAAGATATCCTTATAATTGAAAAAAAGATTTAAAAAGTAAGAAGGTAAACAAAAAAATGTAGATAAATAAAAGAAGGTGAAATGACTAAAAGGCGAGTATATATTTAAAAAAGTTTTAAAATGTCGGAAAAATATCAAAAAGATAAAGAAAAAAACATAAGAAAAAAGGAGAAATAATGCAATGAGTTATATATAGTATATATGCAAGGTGTTTTCATCAAATCACACATCAGAGTAAATTTAAAAAAAAATTGACAACTTCATAAATGATGAATTTTATTTAAAAATTAAAAAAGATATCAATAAAAATGTAAAGCAATAAGCATTTTTTGAAGACATATTTATGCTGAATAAAAAATAAAGTTTAAACAAAAATATAGATACAAAAGTGCAAAGATTAAAAGATGTGCAAATATTTAAAAATACTTTAAAATGAAAGAAAGAAATCAACAAAAAGCAAGAGGTAAAAGAGAGAATGCAATGAAAGTTGGTTTCATCAAGTCCAACATCAAACATTTATTCATTTTGAAGAAAATAAAAGATCCTTTCATTTAAAAATTGAGAAAGGAACCAAGAAAAGTATAAAGCATTAAACAACTTTTGTAGACATATTTCATCTAAATAAAAAAATTATGTTTAAATAAAAATATGTAGATAAATAATAGGAAATGCAAACGTTAAAAAAAATGTGCTTATATTTAAAAAAGAATTAAAAGTTGATTCTTATGTAAAAGTTAAGAAAGATATCAAGAAAAAAATAAACCATGAAGCACTTTTTGAAAACAAATAATAGGAAATGTAATGATTTAAAAGATGTGCTTATAGTAAAAAAAAAAAAAAGCTTTAAAATGTAAGAAGGGCAAAGAAGATGCTTAGAAAAAAAAAATGTAGATAAAAAAAGAAAGTTTAAAACAAAACATATGGATAACTAACAGGAAGTGAAATGACTACAAATATCTGCTACATTTAAAAAAAATTAAAATGAACCAAAACTTTCTAGAAAAACAATTGAAAAAACAAAAAGAAAAAATGCAAAAACTTATATGCTAGATGTGTAAATGGTGATTATATCAAGTCCCACATCAATTTTTTTTTTAACAGGAGATAACGGATGGCTTTTATTTGAAAATTGGAAAAGGAATCATGAAAAACATAAAACATTAACCACTTTTTGAAGACATATTTAATCTAAATAAAAAAAATCATGTTTAAACAAAAACAATAGATTCTGTTTGAAAAACAAAAACAATAGATAATTAATTGGAAGTCCAAACATTAAAAAAAATTGTGCTTATTTTAAAAAAAAGCTTAAAAATGTAAAAAAAAAAAAAAGACAAACAAAACGCATGAGGAAAAAAATGGAACAAATGCAATTAGTTATATATATGGTGTTTATCCATGGTGATTTCATCAACTCTCATATCAAAAATATATTATTTTAAAGAAAATAAAAGATGACTTTTATTTAAAAAATAAAAAAAGATCAAGATAAAAATAAATCATTAAGAACTTTTGAAGACAAAATAATAGGAAGGATGTGCTTATAAAATGAAAAAAAAAAAGCTTTGAAATGTAAGAAAAAAATTCAACAAAAAGAAATATAATGAGTTATATGTGGTACGTGTGCATGGTGGTTTAACAAGTCCCCATCAAAAATATATTTTTTTAAAGAAAACGAGAATACATTTATTTAAAAATTGAGAAACATATCAAGATAAATATAAACCATTAAACACATTTTTGAAAATATAGATAAGTAATAGGAAGATCAGATATGTGCTTATATTTATAAAAAACTTTAAAATGTAAGGAAAAAAATCAACAAAAAAGAACAAGAGAAAAAAAGAGAAAGAATGCAGTAAATTATATATGAGCTGTGTGTATAACAGTTTCATCAAGTCATATTTCAAAAAATCATTTTTAAAGAAAATAAAAGATGAATTTAATTTAAAAATTCAGAAATATATAAGAATTTTTTAAAGACATATTTAAACTATTAACATCCTTCATAAATGATGAACTTCATTTAAAAATTGAGAAAGATATCAATAAAAATATAAAGCATTAAGTACTTTTTGAAGATATATTTAAGCTAAATAAGATATAGGAAAAAAGAAATAGAGATAAATAAAAGAAGGGCAAAGTTTGAAAAGGTGTGATTATATTTAAAAAAATTTAAAATTTAAGAAAATTAAAATCAACAAAGAACAAGGAAAAAAGGAGAAAGAATGCAAAGAGTTATACATGCGGCGCGCAAACACGTTTCCTCAAGCCTCACATAGAAAATATTTATTTTTAAAGAAAATACTTTAAATGCATGATAATATCATACACTTTGTTAAGAATAGAATATAGTCAACCTTCATAAATGATGAATTTTATTCAAAATTTATTTAAAAATTGATAAAGATACAGATAAAAATGTTAAGCAATAAGCATTTATTGAAGACATATTTAAGCAAAATAAAAAAATATATATAGATAAGTAATAGAAAGTGCAAAGATTAAAAAAAGTGCCTGTGTTTAAAAAAAAGGTTAAAATGAAAGAAAAAGGTCAACAAAAACAAGAAGAATAAAAAGAGAAAAAATGTAATGAGTTATATATAGTTTGTGTGCATGATGGTTTCATCAAGTCCCACATCCCAAATACATCTTTTAAATTATTAAAAAAATTGAGAAAGATATCAAGAAAAATATAAATCATTAAGCACCTTTTAAAGACATATTTAAGCTAAATAAAAAAAATAAGTATAGGCAAAAAATTGAGATAAATAATAATAATAAGTGCAAAAAAAAATAGATATGCTTAGAAGATCCAAAAAAGATAAAAAAGATGGGCTTATATTTAAAAAATGCTTCGAAATGTAAGGAAAAAAATCCACAAACTGAACAAGGCAAAAAGAAGAAAGAATGTAGTGAGCTATACTCCTTTCATTTAAAAATATAAAGTATTTTTAAAAAAATTGAATGTTTAAAAATATGCAAAAAATTAATCTTTCAAGATGTATCATTACTTTTTCTCCAAAAGTACCCCTATTGATAATGACTTTATATTTATTATAAGTTATTTAATAGAAATTAATATGAAAAGATAGGGTTAATTTAAAAATAGGTAACTACTTTATTAGGAAGTAAAATTTGATTAAAAATACCTTATATTTTATAATGGAGAGAGTATATGTTATGTGTGCATGCAAGCTGACATAAATATTTATTTTTTAAATAAAATATTTTAAATGCTTGATGATATGATACAATTTTTATGAATATATGATGAATTTTATTTAAAAATTGAAAAGATATAAAAAATATAAAAGAATAAGCATTTCTTGAAAACATATTTGTGCTAAACAAAAAATTCAAGTTTAAACAACAACAAAAATATAGACAAAGCATTTTTTTCAAGACTATTGCTGAAGTATAATTATTAGTAAAAGCTTATTTTAAAGAAGGAAAAAATTCACCAATAGAATTATTAATAATTGATGAAACAATAATAAGTAGTGTTGAAGATAATATTTTAGAAATATTAACTGAAAATTTAATATATCAAAAACTAAAATTTACAGTAAATACTAACTTTTGTATTTTAAGAGCTGATGAAAATATGAATAAGACCTTGTTAATATATCATAAATTAGGAGGAATAAAATTATTACCAAGATCAAAAATAATAAATATAGTTGCTATGATAGGATTAGTATTTACAAATGAATATAAGATTTATAAAAGAAATAAAGGTAAATTAACAATTGACAAACATTTTATGCCTGTATTACGAGAAATAGAATTAGACCCAACTAGAATAACAACACCTAAACAATTAAGGGACCATTTGGATTTCAATTGGGCATAATAGATTATGAAAATAATTGATTAAGTGATAAATTTTAATCATAATTGATTATGTTAGAACACAATCTGTTTGAATACTGTTTTTTTAAAATTAATTTTAACAAAACTGAAGATGTTTGGATAATTTTTTTAGAATCAATTTTAACTGTTTAAATTACCATAAAGGACATAATTTTTTTATACTTAAATTATTGATAAATTTGTATCTAATAGTATTAAAGATGTTACATTTTATTTAAAAAGCAAAATATATTATTTAAACTACATATATAATTAATTAAAAATTTAAATTATATTAATATTAACATTTAAATTTATGTAAATAAATAACTAAATATATCTTACTTAAAATAAATTCAATAAAAGACTAGAAAATTAAATTCTTAAATATAAAACAGTAATTTTACAACAACTAATGAAGATGATAATATACAAGTTGGTCCTAATAATATCATGAATACTAGTCATAGCTAATGAAGAAGATGTCATGGATGAATATTCATCAACGCCATGGTCTTCTTGATCCTCATAGTCTTCTTGATCTTCCCTCTCATGACGCATAAAATCAGCATCAGAGTTAGAGTGTCTTCTAATGAAATTATGTATCGCCATTGATGCAACAACGATTTGAACTTGTATATCGTAGTCATAACTAGGCATGTTGCGTAAAATTGCAAACCTCTTCTTCCAAACTCCAAATGTTCTTTCTATTGTGCACCGTAAACTTGAATGAAAATAATTAAAGACCTCATTATTACTTGTAAATCCAGTTGATCTTCTAAAATCAAGAAGATGGTAGCGTTCCCGTCTATACGGACCAAGATATCCATTTGGTGTTGGATAACCAGCATTCACCAAATAATATTTACCTTGTAAAAAAAAGATTACTATTAATGCCTGTAAGCTGGAAAGTCTAATACAAATAAATTGAACAAACAAATATACCTGAAGGCGAGTATGGAAAGTTCATGGATCGAGTTGTCAGGGCATGTTGAAAAATGCAAGCATCATGCGCAGTCCCCTCCCATCCAGCCAAGACAAAAGTAAAGCACATGTCCCAATCACACACAGCCATTACATTTTGCGTAGGGATTCCTTTTCTTCCAATATATTTTGATTTTTCACTAGCAGGGACTACACATGGAATATGTGTGCGATCAATTGCTCCAATGGCATTTTTAAAGAATGGCCAATATCGCTTATCATTTTCTATTTTGTTTGATACATGACGAAAGGACCTGTCTTGTGGTTTGATATATTCCATTGCAAGTTTCAAGCAAGCCATTAAAACTTTATGAAAATGTCTGTGAATAGTCTCTTCTGAATGTTGAAATCTTTCTTGTGCCATCCTATTTCCTAACCCATGTCCAATTGTATTTAAAAAAATTACAACCATCTCCTGTACTCTCATTCGCCTAGTATCCTTCAATCCATGCCATGTCAATTCACTGCATAATTGATGGAACACATGTGGTTCCATTCTAAACATTTCATAGCAATGAACTGGATGTTCTTCTAAAATTTCATTCACCCACAAATGACCTATATATTCACTATTTCTTCGTGGTTCTTTGCACAAACCTTTTGTTGCATACAATCCAATGAAAGCACTAACTTTTTGGGCTCTATTTAGCCTTTTTTTAGATGACTCTTCCATATGTCTTGCTATCTGTAGCCAAACACATAAATAATACGTGCACTTAATTTCAATTATAGATACATCTAAATAAGTCATCTATAAAAATACCAATGATTTTTCCACAACATTGTAATACTTGATTACCATATATAAAAAGTACATAAGTAGTTCAAGAGGCTACATAAGTTAAATTCTACAATATAATACAAACATGTTAGACTACTCTTTAAGTAAGATCATATATTCATAAGTTTTAAAACTCCAATAATCAACTATTTTTGTAACATTCATATCTCAACCACTCCAAAACACTTTCTTTATTATCCTTCATCGTCAAAAACATCACCCTAGCCTCTCAAGACATGAAGAGTGACATGCATTGTGAAACCCAATATTTGTCAATTGCAACTTCTTCCCATTGTTTGGCTATTGACATGACTTCGGGAATTGATGTTTCCTTAGCCTGTTGAGATTCTTCCTTTGTTGTTTGAGCTATCACACTCATTGCATCTGCTATTTGACTTATACTAGGTAACTTGTTCTTCTTTCTACCGTTATTGCTTTCGCCCCTCTTCCTCTTACCACAGCCTCTACTTAAGGTTCTTTGAGAAGCATTTAGAACTACTCTATTAAATTCACCGCTTACTCCAGTAGTTCCTAAGATCTCATCACTATCTCCTGAACCTTCCTCCAAACCAATACCCTCATTTGCCATATCTGGCCGATACACCTCTTCATCCTCACCTTCATTCCTATTGTAAATGTTAGGTAAAACTCCACTTGAAGGTGCCAGTGCTCTAAGTCCATTGGCGATAGTACCTTGGAACAACTCGATTAATTCATTAACAAATGGTAATCCTTTATGTCTGAATTTCTCGTATAATGGATTTTCCTGCACATAAATTATCAATAATATTACAAAATACACAAATAAATAAAATAAATATAAAGCCTCACATAATAACATCATACCAATATCTTCTTCACCTACCAATCATCTGAAGCATCCACAGTATTGTTTGCATAATCCCAACCCAATCCTGTCTCACTTGAAACTAACTTATCACACAGTACCCACTCTTTTCTCATATTATCCCACTTATTCTTGAATTGATGTCTCTCATATTTCTGTCCACTCTTCTCATTGAAGGTAGAAATTATGCTGAGCCATCCTACTTTGGTAAAACTACCACCATTTCTTTGCGATTTTCGAGCTTGGTCTAAACAAATGTCAATGAAGATTCTAATATTTCTTCGATCCCATGAAGCTTTTGGCTTATTGTTACTCATTATACTATATAAAAAACTAACATATTAATTATAGGAATTATAATTAAAATATTACATGACAAAAACTTGGCAATTTTCAGAGGAGCCAAATTCAATAGAGACTCACATAGCAAAAAATTCGACTAATGACCCCTATATATGCAAAACATATTGTTTGAGAATAAAACTCCAATAATCAGTGATCACAAACCAAAACCATCAAAGAGTTCAACTTGGCACAAAATTAACTTTCAACAGCTTTCCCACAATTTACAAATGTATAAAATTTTGACTAAAATCAGGTTTCAATAGCTAAAAAGTTAACTTTTAACAGGTCTCCCATTTTCAACACAGAGTTCAACTGGGTACAAAACTAACACAAAAATAGCATGAAAAATCAACTTTCACCCATATTATTATTTGTAAATGTTCAAGAGTTGTAAATGGTTCAAACCACACAAAATTAAGCCAACAATTGTGAGAACAAATCCATTCGTGCATAGATCAGAGTGGAGAGGAAAACAGAATTTGAGCGACCTTTCTTAAATATGAGGGTCTATTTCTACACTGTATTGCTAGAAAAACGTGTATTGTTGCAATGCATCGTTTTACTCTGCTGATTAGTACAGTGATAAGGTTTGGATCCGTGCTTTGAAGTCTCTATCTGTGTATATTTCATTTCTTATTTCAAGTTTTTTATGGTCTGTAAGATTTTATTGTTTCGACTGTGTAATCATCTTATAATCTGTTGATAGGGAAACGGGCTTTCATTGGCAATCAAAATTCAGATGTCAACTATAATGGTTTCAGTGATGCTTCGAATCAATCTTAGAAGATTTCAATCATTTTGTGCCTGAGATATGGAAGTTCCTAACAATGGAGGTGTTGATCGCAGAATTCAGATTATTAAAAGCCCTCTTTATAAACCTCGTGCCAATCTATCATCAGCTTGGTTTGACCTGAGTTTTTTATGTGAGAAATTGCAATTTTCAGGTGGATGAATCAACCCCCAAGTTTCTCACTCTTAATCATATCCCTTGAAACCTTGATACACTTTTAGAGTTAAATGGTGTAAGTAGCAGCATGTACTCGGATGAGCTGTCTTTAGTTCTTAAAAGAGACTGGGTAGATAAGAAATCTGAAGAAACGACCTTTGTGAGCACGGATAGTATACAGTTGACAGGAAGCATGAAATTTAAGGTTTATGATAAAGAGATCGTATTCTCCCGGGACTTCTGGAGATGTCCAATAGCATCAGAGTGGAGAGGAAAATAGAATTTGAGCAAGATCAAACTTGACCAAGATCGTCCAAAAGAAGGTTAGAGAAGATCATTTACCTCTGAGTTGGACCGACTGAAGAGGACCATGAGCAGATCAGCGACGGACGGCCGACTATGAGCAGATCGAGGAAACAAAGTATAGATAAAGCTTACTGCATCCTCGACTATGGCAGGAGATCACCACCACTGGAAGCAACTCAGAGACAGCAGACGGAGGAGGCGACGCCACGAGGACCACAGATCTGCACAAAGTTGGCAGATGGCCGAAAGATCCTTGCCTCTGTAAGAACCGACTGTGAGATGGCACACCTGTTGGAGGTAGGTGGACGACGGCAGGGACGGCACGATGGTGAGACGATGGACGGTGACTAAGTTGGGGATGGCTGGACGACAGCAGAGAGGCGACACCACCGTGAGGACTGACAGGTGAGACCGAACGAGAGAGGAGATCAGAAATGAGGAAGCCGCAACTGATGAGAAATGAGACAAATGAAGATTAGAAAGAAGAGAGAAAAATCACGTGAAGGGCAACATGGATTTTTCAGCTTTCACAGAGAAAGAGCACGTGAATAACGGTAAAAAGCTAAAAGCTAAAGCTGGTTTGGGTAGATTATGAATTAACGCGCGTTTTACCTCTTTAATCGATTATTGCATTTTTCTTGTGTTTGGGTAATTTCAATTAAAAAATCGATTATGGGCTGCAAAATCAATTTTTGTGTCTATCCAAACACACTAAGATTAGAATTAGATAATATAATAGGATATTATGAAAACGAAAATAATTCAAGAAGACTGATAATCAATGACAATATAGGACAAAGAACATTAAGAATAAATACACCAGCATTAAATATAAATATAAATCAACCTAATACTAGAAGAAGTTTTAGTTTTGAAACAAGACCCAGTACAAGTACAGGAATGTCTAGACAAGAAAGATTATTATTAAAACCTAGAACTGAAAGACCAATAACTTCAAACTTAGAATCAATAAGACATGAAACACTAACAGAAAATAATAATTATATAGCTATACAAGTAAAACAAGATGCTAATTAGATAGATGTAATGGCCTTAGTAGAACCAAGACAAGAAAGAAGTACGATACAATTAGGATTAACAAATAATACTCTTAAAGTAACAAATGAAGGAAATAGAACAATATCTTCAATAAGAATAAATAAAAGAAATGTGTTAACTATAAAATTCTGGGTAATAGATGATAATAATAATCAATGTAAAATAATCTTAGGAATAGATTTCTTAGAACAAGTAAAACCATGAAAAATACAACAAGAAAGAATTATGATAAATATTAATCATCAAATAATAGTAATCCAAGAGATAAAATTGATATGACAAAATTATATTACATATTGATAAAATTTAATTATCAAAAATATAGATCTAGAAAATATCATGCTTTAGTTGATATAGGAGCAAATATTTCAATAGCAAAAGTAAATATATTACCAAATGAATTATGGAAAAAAAAAAAGTACTAAGAATGCAAGGGGTAGGATAAGAAATTAATTGTATTGAATTAGAAGGAAGAGAAATTATGGTACAAATAGAAGAATATGAATTAAAAATAAGAAAATTGAACCAATATAATGATAACTCATGTGATGTAATATTAGGAATAGATTTTATTGAACAATATTATCCTTTACATATGTTTGAAAAAGCAATAATATTAACAACACTTTGTAAACACCAAGTATGGGGAGTAAAAGTAACTAAACCTTATAGTATAAGAGATGAAAAACATTTAGAACAATTTATAGATCTTATAAAAAAAAGATTAAATATATCACCTAAAAAAACTGAATTAAGAAACGAAAGAACAGGATTTTTAAGATAGTACATAACCAATAATGGAATAGAATTACTAGAACATATTAGTAAGAAAATATTAAAATTTGAGGATATTAAAAATAAAAAAGAACTTCAATCATTTTTAGGATCAGTAAATCAAGCTAGAAACTATATTCCAATCTTATCAAAATTAACAACAAAAGTAAATAAATTAACTAAAGAAAAGACAATATAGATATGGGATAAAGAAAAAGAAAAAATAGTGAACCAAAAAAAAACTTTATGTCAAAATCTACCTAAAGTAACTATTCCAGTAAATAATAATGTAATATGAATAATATACACAAATGCTAGTGAAAATTATTGAGAAGCAGCTTTATATCACATTAATGAAAATGAAGAAGTAATAATTAGATATGCAAATGAAAAATTTAATGATTCTCAAACTAAATATCATTCAAATTGAAAAGTTATTAGCAATAGTAAAAGCTATACAAAAGTTTGAATTATTTATTATTAATACTAGATTCATTACAAAAACTGATAATACTCAAGTAAAACATTGATTAAATAAAGAAATAAAGACAACTCAGTTATGTAATAAGATGTTAATTAAATGACAATTAGATATGTCTTATTATAGTTATGAAATTGAATATATTAAAGGAAAAAATAATCTTGTTGTTGATTATTTGTCCAGATGGAGCCAAATAGAAGAGAGACTAATATAATGACAAGTACTAGTGATGGTGGTTCACCTACAAGACCAATAATAACCCCACTAGACCAAGTAATTATGAAGGTAAATATTCTGAAAATGAATATGAACCTTCTTGTTGGACAACTAAATAACAGTATGCAATCATTATCTGAATCAATAGCTCATCTCAGAAATAAGGTGAATATTTTGACAAGTAAAGTGAAAGACTTAAAGAAATCTAAAGGTCCATTATCTCAATCCCCTGAAATATAAGTAAAACAAGTAATTGAATCATCTACTCAAACTCCTGAATCATTATTCCAACCTCAATCTAGAAAAAACTGACCCAATAATTCCTTTCACTGAAATAGTAAAAGAAGCCCAAAAGTCTAAAGCCCAAATAGTGACAAGAACACTTCAAAATAGTGTATCTACTTCTACCTCTTTTAGAAGGAGAAGTCCAAGCCCAGTAACTTCACAATCCTTTAAGACCTTAGACTAGTATAATTATTTCAAACTTCTCATCAATAAAACTAACCATTTTGTCCTTCCTAATACCAGTAACATTAAATATGTTTCTCATTATTCCTTCAACAAAGTCATTGTCTATCCAAACACTAACCCTAATCTTGTAAAAACCTTTTATATTTATGGCCTTATTCATTCAATATATCTTTCTAATGATATGTCAGAAATATCAAAACTTCCAGAGTCAATCAAGAAAGCTGCCAAACATTATTTTAGAATAGTAATTCAATACCGAATCTTCATTCGGTGTTACTCAACAATAGCTGAAATAACCTCTGATAAATTCTATCCTCAAATTAATTTGATTAAGTTTGAGACAACAAGGAGACTATTTGAGTATGAACAAGAAGAAAATGAAGATATTATGAATGATGAAGACCTCAGATACAAGATCTCCACTATCAGAGCGCAAGAAATACATTTAATTTTTCAGGAACTCAATAGGACAACTACAGCAGCATAAGAACAGTGGACATACTTCACTGGCCCAACAACATGTATATTCTTAGTAGTAAGAAATAGCAGAAATTCAAGAAGCTTCAATAATTGGTACCAAAGAATAAGAAATAATTTAATGGATAATGACGAAGGGACAAAGAAGAAAATATGTCAAGTATTATCAGAGTAGGCTATCCATAAATATAAATATTGTGATAAAAAAAGAAGCTGACAAAGATTATGAAGACCCTTCTATCAACATGAATATTCTGAATTAGCCTACCGACAAGTAAAAGAAGACTGAAGAAGATGGAAGAAGAAAACGTAAAAAAGATTGAGGGCTAAAAAGAAGCCTAAACTTATATTGTTTCTTGTAATAATTACTTTAACTTTTCATTTTGTCAAAAAGCCTAAGAAGCTTAAGTATTACTTTTTCATTTTGTCAAAAGTAGTTTTGTTTTCTTGTAATTATTAGAGTTAAAATTAACCAAACTTATATAACCAGGGTTGAAATGCCAACTTTATAAAAAACCATGTAATCTTTGAAGCAACACACATCTGAGAACCTTAGAGCTTTCTTGAGCACTTAAGTTATCTGCCTTCTTGTGACCTTGCCCTCTTACTATCAATAAAAGTATTCTGTTCATTTATTTTCTCCTTTGCAAGTATTGAAGATTAAAAGGTATAGCTGAGTAATTTCTCTTTAGGGGTTAAGGGGGGATTATTATCTAATACTTAACAAAAGTTTTAAATTTTCGCAATGATCCTATAAGAAAAATTACTGATTATGTGTTGCTATGGCTACACCCTCAGTAAGAAACGAAAGAAGGTTATGCTGTACTGGTCTGAAAGAAGTGGTTCTATGAAAGGTCTATAACCAGGCTTGAGAGACTACCGGCTTATTGATTTCAGTATGAAAGAGAATTGAAAACCTTTCATGTTCTGCTATGACCCGAATCAGTGTCGGTCAAACCTTATAACAATACATAGCCAATTGTTTTAGTTATGGTATTAGAGCAGAAGAACAAAATAATATTAAGAGGAAGATAATATGAACTTCGTAATCCCTGAAGTTTATTGTTGTTTTACTCAGTTACCTACTTTCCTGCCTTCTCTATTTATTTACTTGCTTTTATCTATTGTTTTGAACAGTTTGAATATTTTGATAGATAGTTGATTAGTTTGGCTAATAGTATTGCAATTGGGCGAGTAGTTATTCAAGTAATAAGTCAAATAATGTTGACTACTTTCTCTCAAAGATTATATTCTTATCATTATTTGTATGATAATCAACAAATAGATAAAACTAGATTATAACAATTAATTGTAAAATCTATTAGGTTTGAAACAATAGAATTTCTAAATAAATCAGAAGTCAATAGAAATCATATAGAGTACTGTTATTGTCTATATTTACGCATTATAATTATAGAAGCATTAAAAATGAGGTGAATATTTTGACAAGTAAAGTGGAGGACTTAGAAATATCTAAGGGTCCATTATCCCAATCCCCTGAAAGACAAGTAAAACAAGTAATTAAATCATCTACTCAAACTCCTGAATCATTATTCCAGCCTCATAGTTCAGAAAAAACCGGCCTAAAAATTCCTTTCCCTAAAATAGTAAAAGAAACCCAAATAGTGACAAGAACACCTCAAAATAGTGCATCCACTTCTACCTCTTTTAGGAGAAGAAGTCCAAGCCCAGTAACTTCACCATCCTTTAAGACCTTATAACTGAAACATCTGACTATGTATTGCTACAGGGTTTGACCGATACTAATCCGGCTTATAGCAGAACATAAAAGATTCTCAGTTCTCTTTCATACTGAGATTAACAAGCTAGCAGTCTCAAAAGCCTAACTATAGACTTTTCACAAAACCACTTCCTTCAGACCAGCACAGCACAGCCTTCCTTCATTTCCTACTAGAGGCATAGCCATAGCAACACATAACCAGTAATTCCCCTTATAGGATCATTGTGAAA